GGGAGTAAAGCACGGCCGGTGCGTAAGGCACACAATCTTACCGTCATCTTTGAGCTGATTGTCTAGATAATGTGGGACCCTTAAAGGCTCACAACCCTATGGGCCTTCATGGCCTGGTACAGGGATAGCTTTACTTTTTTTTTATTACTGATATTTGCTAGGAACTAAATGCATGGGATCTGAGGTTCTTATGGTAGTGATTATTAAGATTTTGGTTTCCTGGGATGTGACATTGTTTTGTTTTGTGTGTATGTACCCAATTTTCTGCTCCCTCTACAGCGTTGAATATTCTTTGGAAGTGTTAGTACCTATGTAACAAATTAGATCTCTTAATATTCACTGATGTGAGAACCTCAAATCTCATGGAGTTTACCAGACCCCTTCATTTCTGTAGCTAGTTTTTAAGTCACTTAAATTTGCCCCATTTCAAATGTGTTGGGTTGATGTGCACTGTTCTGTATGAATACGTATTTTATATGTAACTTTTTATATGAGACATCTGTTGTAAGAGTGTACTTTTACTTGTTAGCATTATATTAAAATAGAATTAAATAAACCGTACATACAAGTTAAATGTAGTCATTGAATAACTTTCTCATTTGTAGAGCATTTAGATAAGAAGATAAGTCAAGATCATAAGCCATCACTCATCATAATCTGTAGATATGAAGCTGGATTCCACTTTCCTTTTCGTATATGATAACCCCTTGAACACAGATATAAGCTTAAGTTCTGGTTCTCATAGTGGTCAAAATTAAGCTTATGAACTTCTGTGATATGAGGCTGTGTAATCTGGTAGCTAGGCACCAATATTTCTGAGAAAATAGCTGCTTCTTTCTTCTGGGTAGAAGAAACAGTTGGGTGGGGAAAATATTTACATAGGAAAGCAGGGCTCCAGGTGAGACTATGATCGAGCCAATGGGACTTGGTGGTCCTAATTAAGGCTGTCTCATTAATGGGGGTGAGGAATCAGTGATCCCAAAGTGGCTGGTTTTTAATTGGAGGTTTTCAATGGACTACACAACATTATAGTCCAGAAGATAGAAATCATCATAACTACTGCTATGAGAACCTCAAATCCTAGAACTGTTTACTAGACAGTGAAGCTGTCACTCTAGTTTTGTGGAATGAGTTCCTCTAAAGGATCCTGAAGTTAATTCTTGCATCTGTATAATGATGAGTTTTAAATTTGTTTCTAGTTTCCTACACGTAACCTTCCTAACTTCATGATGATTGTTTTTTTTTAGAAGTTTGCAATAAATATCACTATAATGAAACAACAGAAAAACTCCCATGGCTCAAACCTTTACATATTTTCCTTGAGATGTTACCGAGTCCAACTTGAGACTAGCTACACAGGTTGCCAATTTACTCCTGAATCACCAGATCCCCCTTTCCAGACATAAGACAAAGAGTGTAATATGTTGGGCTGCAGAATCAAGATGATTTAACTAACCCTGCATACCAAGCACTAATTTTCTTTTTGTGTGTGTGACAGCCTGCTCCAGCATTTCTCAGGTGGAATCCATAGATTGCCAGTTGGTGTTACATTACATATTAGTGTAATACATGTTCAAAATTCAGTGAAAAATCTCGTCATTTGTTGCATTGGCTTTCATATTGTTAACTTCACTTCCATTCTCATATGTTCCTTTACAGTCCTACATAATAATAAATGATATGTTGAGTCTGATATTTAACGGCATCACCCATGAATAACACGCACAAATGGCCAATCATAAACCGTCTCATTTATGTAATAGACTACACTTCACACATCCATATAAAATATTATCCAAAGAAACCTCAGAAACACTCCAAGTGAGAAAGAGATCATTGTCTTCTACAATGTATAAACAATCTTCATTTTATCAAAAATATGGAAGGCATATATTTAAAAAGAAAACATCCAGTTGAAAATGAGATTTGAGGATCTCATAGTGATGAATATTAAGATTATTATTTTCTGGTGTGTGACACCATGAAGTCTGGTAGCCTTAAGACGGAGGTTGCAGGTTCCTTTAAAAGATTTGCTACCTGTCTAACAGACTATACTGTCACATGCAAGAAAATTATAATTTTAATCCAACTGGAAAATTCCCCTTTCATACTGCATACAGTATTTCAATCACGGAGACTTATGGTGTAGAGGTAATATATGTGGCTTATGAACATATTCTGATGCACATAAATACTTATGTGTAACCTAACGTCCAATCTTTTGTTCTAAGTTCTATCTTTTACACTCTTAAAAATCTACTATCCATCATTTGTATTAATAAGTTAACTACAGTCTCCTGGGAGACGAGTATTATATCTTCATTCAGATCAACGCGGTTCTGCAATGGGACACACACTTCTGGTTTCATTTGGGCTGAATTTTAGGTCAGTACAGTACCTCTTCATTTCTGAATTTAAATTCCTTATAGTGGTCAAAATGACAATAAAAATTCTGTATAACTATCATACTTGTGAATGAGCCATGTAGCTCAGTCATTATAGTGACTGGTTTAGGGGCTGAACAACCAGAGAATTGCAATTCAGCTACAGAATGGAGGGGGGGAGTCTCATCACCATCACCTCCAGGCGGACTCTGGGTTCCATTCAGCTTTGTACATGATGGGTGCCAGGGACACTTTTCTTGGGGATAAAGCAATCAGATCAAATCGCTTATCACTCGCCTTCATCCAGAGTTGAATATTAAGAAAAACTGAAGTTACACCTCCACAAGAAGGCCAAGGTTCACACTCAGCTTGTGATGTAACTTCTAGCACATTTTTGAACAGTTAGTCTTCAAATAAATCGTAGTTAAAGTATTTACATGAAAGTAATGTTAGATCAACTCTGAATTATTGCATATGACTTGCATTCAAAAGACAGCTAGCTTGACTTCCTGCCATGAATGATATCTGGACAGTCATGTATCTGTTGGTTTTATAGTCTACTCCACTGTGTTGGCTATTGATAACTGTCAATAAACCAAACAATTCAAACTCACATTCAGAACCCATTCCTAAAACAAGACTAATTTAAAATTATTTGGTGATGGTATGACATAAGGCTTAAGGTTATTTATTCAGATTTTATTCATCATCTAATTTCATAAAAGCTGCAATGTTTTGGAAATGGGTTCTAATTCTGTCTTTGAGTGGTGAGCAGATGAAGAAATTCCTACTCTGTTGCTCCCTTACAAACATGTGATAGCTCTACCTATGGACCCAAGAGAGTAGAGATTATTTCATACCCTCTCCAACTGAAAAAAAAAATAGAACAGATTTCCAAAATGAGGTAGTGTTTGTCTAAAGAAGGAGAAAAATGAGCAAAATCCAAACAAAAATGCCTTAAAATCTAATTATTTTTTCTTATAGGGGCATTTCCTCCAAACCGGATGTAATGTTTATACCCATGTGACTCAGCCTGCTGAGAATTGTTTATGAAAATATGCTGCTCCATGTAAAGTTCAGGTTGACAGGCCCAGATGAGAGATTCCTGAACACTACATATTGTCTGGTTGGAGATATTCTATAAACAAATTCTTTTTCCTCTTTATTTGAGTTTCACTTGAATGTGATTGTCTAACAGTCAAGTCTATCTATTTTAGTCTTATAAAAATCCTCTTTGATTTCCACCCCAATTCTTCCTTTCATTTCTGTGACACCATTCCCAGCCTTATATTCTCATTTTGATCTCGTTTGTCCTCTTGCTTGTTTCCCTTCCACTTTCAGGTTCAAAACATTCAATGGAAATCTCTCTCCTTTCATTCTTGAAAGGTCTACATATAATCTTATTCTGTCATTTGTCAGTTTAACTTTCAAAGGTTTCTAGCTTCAAAAGTCTAATATATTTTCTTGGCACTTACCTTCAGTGATTTAAAATGTAGCTGATAGAGCATCATAAGACTATCAAGTGACCAAGCAACTATGCTAAATTTTCAAATTATGTAAACATTAATATTCACAGTGTAAAGTTATATGAATTTGATGATCATTTTGACTACTTGGCTTCGTCTGGCATGGCTCACTCTGTTCAGTTTTTTCTGAATCATCTATTTCTCCCTTCAAGTTACAGTTCTTTGCTTAAGATCTAGACTACCTATATTTTAAAACTTATTTTAAATACTTATATATTGACGCATGCTGATTGTCTATTCGCACTTCCTTTGCATGTTTTAACACTCTCTGTAGATAAGGTTTGATGAATCTTTGCACATCAGTCCAACACTCATTGAAATGAGAACCTAACTATGCTTGATTATGTAAAACAGAATGAAATAATATGTAACATTTTCTGGCCGGTATTATTTGAGTGCGCTATTAATTCAGAATTTTTTCCATTGTTGTGATTCAAGAATTGTTTAATTTATATTAAAAATAATAGAAAACTTTGAGACAATGAAGTGTTCTATCTTCTGGATATAATGCATGCAGTCCATTGCAATTCAACCATAAAATTCAAGGCTGACTTTCAATAGGTTACACATCGTTTTATACCTGAAAATAGAACAACCTCAAAGGCTATTTAAGCAGAAATTCATAAAGTGAGAATCTGGTTAAATTTCATACATTATATTGCCTTTATATGACAATTAAATAAGAATCTGAATAATGTCAATAATACCAAATGCAAAACTGAGAAAATTCTAGGCATTAACACCTTTCTGAGAAATTTAAGAAAGACTGTCATTACTCAATTTCATTGTCAAAGGAGCTCACTAAGTCCAGACCTTGGAATACTAGTGTTCTCAGATTATAGTTTGGAAACCAATGATCAAAATAACCCAGTTAAGTTACACGTAAGAAAATATGCAGTCACCATCCTTGACTAGAAACAATTTTGGAAAAAGAAATTTTATGATTTAATAAAAGAAACAGAGCAAATATCCAAAATGTTGTATTAATAATTAATAATAAATTGTAATTAATACAAATTAAAACTAATAATACAACATATCTTTAAAACACATATTATTTTCATATTATTTTAATATTCATGAATTGCAGGAAACTCACCCCAAAGAAATATTCCAGTTGAAAGATCTGTTTTCTGGACAGAAGAGGGACGATATTTGGCAAATGGTAAGCATAGCATAACTTAAAATTATTTGTACATTATTATAAATTGGGGCAGTTTCTTCATTACACCTGTATGACTTGCTAGAAGAATGTATTACTTAACTACAAATATAGTTGACTTTGTGAGAAGGTTAAAAATTGTCATCACAGTCTTCTGAGATATGGTACATACAGTTTGGTAAATCTGTGCCACTGTTCTGGAGGAAATTGATACCTCCATCTTCAGGTTACACTTAAGATGCTACACACACATATGCCAGAAGAATGTGATCTTGATATTTACTGCCTGCAGGACTCTCAAATTTTATTACACATGAATTTAATGTAGGTGAAATGGTTAAAGAATGTAAGTATTGTTTTAAATAACTTATGAAACTGCACTAATTATTACTATCATGAAACAAAATTTTAGTTGTAAACCTTCGAGGAAGAACACTCCTTGAAAACTAAAGTTGTAGGTAACTGGGTAATATTAAAATGATCCTAGAGAAATATGCTGTGAAAGTGTAAAGTAGACATGTCATTTACTACTTCACATTCATGTTTAAATTCAAATATTGTTAGTAATTTTGCTATTATGTTTATCAAAATATTGTATCAAGATTACTGTTTTCTGGAATGCATTGCTGTGCAATTGGTAGAAGGGTACCTATATTCTGGAGAATCCTGCTATATCTATACTCATGGGAGAAGAGTTGGTAAACTTTCTTGTATCCTGAAGATGGAGATAGCAGTTTCTGAAATCTCACAAAATTCTGTGTGCCATATTTTTTCAAGTGCCATTAGTGTCAGTGGTTTGCTGCTGTTGGTCTAGCCCCAAAATAGTGTGCCTGTCTATTAATCGGTTTCTCTAATGCAAAGGCTATCTATGTCCATTGTTATTTCATTGCTTCACAACAGTTCAGTTAAAAAACAATCAATAATACAAAACTGTCAATTTGTCACAAACAATCATCAGACTGTCATAACAAACAAATCATTTCATTATTTCAGCATAATTTATTTTAAGGAAAACCCAAGACAATAATGTGGGGGTTTGGTAGTGAGAAATAGGTTTCTCTCTTTCGAAATTATTGTCATCTGTGTTGTGGAACCACGAAATCTGATAGAGTGGTACCAGCATTTCAGAAGAACTTGCTGCCTTCATCTTCAGGGTAGAATGGAGGCAGCAGGTTTCTCCAAAATGTTGGTGTCAGAGTGCATGTTGTCGCATTCCAAAGGACAGTAGTCTTCATATTCATTTGTTTCAGCTCTTGGAGATCCACTCGTCAGAGGACTCACCGAGGTGGCAAATACAAGACCCAGTGACCCAATTGCGTACCTTGCGACATGTTTATACAATTATGCCAATACATCAAGAGATGTAAGAAATGATACTCAGGTTAGTCAGATGAAGTAGAAATGTTTGCTCTTGCAATTGTCTCTCTTACGAAATGAAGGTAAGGTAAAGTTGACTTTGTGTTTAAGTAATTAAACATTATGAATGAATGAATGAATGCCATGGGGGAGCGGAAGTATAGCTCCACCATTCTTGACCTTGGCGCTAGATGGAAGTGAATGTTCTACCTTCACGCCTGGGCCACTTTACCCCCCCCCCCATTACGGGGAATACGTCCATGTTATCCCCTGGAGTGAAGTCTGAGTGGACTTCAGCGCCAGTGTGGACACTATTACATGATAACAAAAAATAATTTGAAGACAGTAAGACAATAAGTGAAATTCAGACTATTTTTCTTCACGTATTAGATTTTAATTGTTATGCAGCAGAGGTTGTTACTGAGTGTCCAACGTTTCATTTATTGACTAGTCTAAAAGCAATAAACATTTTAAATATTTCTGGGTATTTCATAATTTTTTCAGAACAAAATTCAGCCTTCATGGCTCATAAAAAATATTAAAAAGTGCTACTTTCAGGAATGTAACAGTGCAAGGTCCACTAGAATTTTAGTTACATTTCAGAGGAACGTTGGTGGACTCCTATGAGTTATATGACATTACAACCCAGAAGATACTATGCTTCATAGTCACTGCTGTGAAAGCCTCATAATCAACAGGTCTGATTACTGCTTTTGAAACATCTTCAGCTTCTCAGTATTCATGGATGTGACATCATACATTCTGACAGGTGTACCTACTGATACCTATCTGCCAAACAGCATGGTATCATATCCCAGAAAACCATAATCTCATATTCATTTCCACGCAAAACTCAAACATTTCACATGTTGAAGTTTTCTCAGGTGATCAGTCAGCTTTTTCTTTCTAGCTGGATATTTAATGATGCTGTCAGTGTGAGACTATATTATACCAGATGATAAAATGACTGCTGAATTAGAAGGGATCTGGGAGGAAGCAGTCATGGCCTAATTGAGATACTACCCCAGAATTTTCCTGGAGGGACTGAGGAATACCACAAAAAACCTCTGTCAAGATAGTTGTTGTCCCAGACAAGATTTGAACCTAGAACCTTCCAAATACAAGTCAAGGTCATTGCCACTAGATCAGCCTGTTTAATGTCTGCCATGTCAATATGAAGTTAGTACCCAACATCCCAGGGACTGTCAGTGACTTCATCATCACCATTGCATTTAAAACAAGGTTTCTGAGACTGGGCTCTGTCTCTGTCATCTGGTAAAAAGCCTACTCAGTTGGGCTGAACTGATAGATTTAGTTCCCACCTCTGGACCCACTGCAGACTCCAAAACATCGTTTTAAATAAAAATAGGAAGATGTATGATGTCTAAAAACAATATTGTATTAATACACCATCATCATGAACCTTTAAGTTTTATTTATGATCTCATTAGGTGTACATGTGTTCTTATTATGATAATACCCATAGGAATCAGCCATGATGATTACAACGGGCCCCCCTGAAGCAGTTGGCAATTTCGCTGCACCGCCACCTGCCTCACTGGATGAGGACCCTGACACAATCCAACCAGCCTCTGACTCTCCAGAAACTGCACTTACCAGTGCAAACAGGGTAAAGTAATGTCTACCGTAAAGTCATGTACTAAATATTAAGAATCTCCACTTTAGAGTAGGTATGCTCAATAAATGTTGGAAATAATTCATAATTCATAATTTATTTACATCCATAAACTGTTACACAAATTAAGATATACTTATACAGACTATATCACTCATAAGGTTGCCTATACAGGGAAGACATACTCCAGCTCATACAGCAAATGGATTTCACTGATATTGTGAAGGAACCCAGTGACTCAATCAAGGCTGGGAAAGGAGCTGATAATCACTTGTTGGTGAATGTTTCAGGATGAGCATGGACAGAGCATGCTGCACTTCGCAGCTGCACGCTCTCATGGGCGCAACGCCCTGTTCCAACTACTGCAGGAAGCAGATATCAATGTTGGTTACCGGGACGAACTGTATCGAACAGCCCGTGATGTTGCCATCCAGGCAAAACTACCTGAGAACATACAAGACATTGACAAGTGGGTCCTATACATGGCTGCAAGAGGTAAAAAGAACAAAGGCAGAAGATCCATTCTGATTCAGAGCTTCTTAAGCATCTTGCAGGATGTGACACCATGTACCAGTGTTCCAGAGAAACCTGCCGCCCCATCTTCAGGGCAGATAAGTAAAAGAGTCACATCTACCATGATGATGGAGGCAGCAGGTTCCTCCAAAAATATATATGTACCTATCTACCAAATTACACAGGGTCATATCCCAGGAGTCCATAATCTTAATATGATAATCACAAATCTGACTGGGGTTTCTTGTCAGTACTTGCATTAAATTACGATATTTTCTACATGTATCGAAAATTATCTCTCGCTTATTGCATGTTATGTTCATATTCAATTGGTATACACATTAGTCTCATAGCAACACTTCATGTACCTTTTCCAGAGAAAACTTAATTTGTATTTCAATCAGTTTTCATGCTTCATTAATTAAATACTTTTCCTGGGGAGTAAAGCGCAGGCGGCATGTAAGGCTAACAACCCTACCACCATCTTTGAGCCAATTGTCTAGATAATGTGGGACCCTCAACGTCTCACAACCCTATGGGTCTTCACGGCCTGGTATAGGGATAGCTTTACTTTACTTTATTATTATTATTGTAATACTGAAGAATAATGCAGCCATCAGAGTAGTTACTGCTCCATACTATATGGGTTCACAGGTGAGACTGATAAACTTATGGAACTGCTTCTGGAAGGATATGACCATATTTTAGATGTGGAAGACGAAGAGGAGAACCACATTTTTGATGTCGTACAGAGGCGAAATCAACACGAGACTATGGCTTTCCTACAATCAATACCTTCATTTGAGGTAAAACTGCTGTTTCTTTTCAACAGAGTCAAATTTACTTTAGTCCTTTAACTGCCCAACACTACAACTGAATTATTTGCTAGAAATGCCAAGGCTGCTTGAGGTTAAATGCACTTGCACAGAACAATCCACATTATTTCATCAAATTATTTTTAACAACCATAAGAATTTATTAAGTGAAAGCCTGTTATTTTCTCTAAATATTGTTGTGTTATACCTGATGCCATCTACTGACAGAAATGCTGTAGATTGAGAATGAACTGTTCTGTTTGGCTGTAGCAGTTTTAACACATGTAATCCAAACCAATGTAATCAGCTCATGGCCTGCATGGGATAAGATTACAGTTGTCTGGGGTGTATTGTTATGTACTGTAGTAGATGGGTACCAAAGATTTGGAGGAATATATTGTATCTGTCTTCACTTTTCTACCAAATTGTACAGAAAGACATTCCAGATGATAGAACCCCTCAAATAAAACAAACTCAATTAAGTTGTACCTAATTTTATTTTAAATTCCTAACTCTCTACTTATCTGAAATGACATGAAATCTAAATGTTATTATTTTAATATAACCATCAGCTAACATGTGTTCATTCTATGTACTTTGTGCAAACAATACCTTAACACTCTTTAGGCATTTCCAGCTGGAGCTTAATGTGTGGCTTTGGGGAATAGTCCACATCGAATATTGAGCATTTTCCAACATTTTGCAACTGCTGAAACATTGGAAAACCCTTAACGTTTCAAACAGCCTGCGCTGAAACGATGAGGTACACAATAAATACCTTTTCTTCAACAGACCACAAGAGAATGTCACAATAAAACAGCTGAATGAATTCAAAATTTATTTTAGAAGGCAGCTCTTTCAGTGTGCTAAACCTTATTTCCTGGTTCAGATGTAAGCCTACCGGCACATTAAATGAATTGTGGCCAGTCACATAAAATTAAGTATGACTCATTAGGACACTGCGACTGCAGACTCATTTGTCTTGCATGGGATTCCTACATATTTCAGTAACATTTTAGAAACAAGGTCAAGTCTGTTAAAACTTAAGATCTACCTTTTCAGCATCTCAGTGAGTGAGAACTGATTAATCTCAACTGGACTCAATTTTGTTAGTACACCAGCAGACTATGATCTCAAAAAGGCTGCTGGGGTACACCCATCTTCTTGACAGTTTGCTTCTGACAAGACTTAACAAGGATTTTGATGCTCAAACCTTTGAAGTCATTGAATTCATAAGGCTGACTGTGGTAAATGTAAAGAGGATGAAGTTGTGAGTGGAGGTATATCTCCACAATTCTTTATATCGGCTCTAGACGGAGTTGAGTGGTCAACTTCACGCCCTGTACCCATTGGATAGGAGGCTGGGTGGGACCCAGAAAAGGTCTGGATGCTGTAGAGCAGAGAAAAATCTCTTACAGTGTTGGGAATCAAACCCCAGCTCACTGCTATCCTGACTTTCAAGGCTGGTAATGGACGGTCTGAAATTACTCAGGCTTGCTGATCCTCATAGGCTGGATTTCTTTTAGATGTAATTCAGTATATATTAAGAGATATGATTATGAATGGTTTCTTTACAGGAAAAACGTGAGGAGTTACACAGCGCAATTCGACGGGGAAATGTGGAAGAAATGAAAAGCATATTAACTCCAGAGGCAGGAAAAGGTAATCTCCTGGCAGTAGCAAAAAATGTTTATGGGCGATGCTGTCTACATATAGCAGTCCTGTGCCAGGATGAGGAGATGACTAGATTTATTGCTGTTAATTTCCGAGAGACACTTCGTGCTGGAGACAATGTAAGTGAAAAAGTTGTAACATGTGTAACTCATCTCAGGCCACAGTACCAAGGGACTCTGCCCCACCCCACCCCTAAAGAAATCCCATAGATTCTGTATCAACACAAACCACAGGACAGAATACGAATGCCCAGTAAAAAAGATGCAAGCAACTGTTATAACCCTTTAAACCAAACTTAAACGATTTCTTCTTATCCTGTAATTAGTTTCTATGCTGAACACTTTGCAAACACAATTTTGAATGTATTTCATGGACATCTAGCATGGCTCATGAGGCTCACAAACAGAGAATTTGAATTTGATTTGTGGAAGGGGCATCCATTTTTCCTTTCACTGCTCTGGGTGACATCCAACCCATTAAATGGGTAGTATGAACAGAATATGAAACTGGTCACTAACATTCATCTAGTGCTGAGGAGTGCGGAACCCCCACTATCCCATACATTTTCATGGAGTGTTAATTAAGCACAGAGACTGCTCCCTTACTTTATGCTTCTTTTCCCCCACGTATGCTATAAGAAGACAAGATAACTTAGTCAGTATAGTAAGCAGCCTCTGTAGTCTAGAGGTAACGTTCCCACCTCATGACTCGTAGTACGTGGTTTCAAATACCCGGCAGAAGTCATAGAATTTTTAAGGGTGGAAAAATTCAGGGAACAAGTCCTCCGGGAGGGACTTTAAGCTGTGGGTCCCGTGTCGTAGCTTTACGGCACATAAAAGAACCTCATGTCTCCAAAGAAGGCCACTGAGCAAAATTACAGACGTTTCCCGCCCAGCAGTAGTCTCTAATACCTCTGGTAGATGGGGGAAGCATTATAGATACCACTCAGCTAGTAGAGGCCGATCTCGCTGGCTGGGCGGGACTGATGGTAAGCACCAGTTCCGGTAGGATATAGAGACTGGTAGAATATCATAGAGGGAAGCTCAATGGACCAAGACAGGTCTAAGTGCATGGGGAAACCCACCCTCTCCAATAACTAACTAACTAACTAACTAGTCAGTAAAGTGATGGGCTATGGGCTGAATGGTCAAGGAATTGGGATTTGATACTTGACAGTGGCAAGAGAGTTTTCTCCACAGTATCCAGACAGGCACTTGAGTTCACCAAGCTCCCTATCCATAGGTACCAGGGCCTCTTTCTCCATGGGTAAAGTGGGCAGTGTATGAAACTGACCACTAATGTTCACTTAATGCAAAGTTTAAAAATGTGTGAAGCAATGCCTCCACTACCTAACAAATCTTCATGGATTGGTGCTTAATTAAGTATGGGGACAACTTTGCCTTTACCATGGATGTTCTCCCACTCAACACAGCTCTGTAACTATAATGGGTGAATGCTAAATGTAGAGCCATATGATGCTATTGAATTTGGAAGATACATATCAGTGTTTCAGAGGAAGATACTGCCTCAATCTTCAGGGTAGAAAAGTGCGTCTACCCTGATGATGGAGACCGCAGGTTCCTCTAAAACACTCTTACCTACTTAGCAAACTACATAGAATACTGTAATCTTAGTATTTACTGTTGTGAGAATTCAAAATCTCCATTTTCCAGTTGGAAAGAACATCTCTGCATTATGCTATGGCCTTGGAGAAGGTTGAACCCCTCAGCACTATACTCATCAAGGCAGGTGCCAAACGAGTACTCAAAGATCTGGTAAGTAACTCAATCAGCATGCATTTCCAGTTTGTGAATCCAACATTTAGAATCAATGGCTGTGTGTGTACTGATGTTTATCATGTTTTGTGGCAGTTATTTTCAGTTTGTCACGATCCTGACATCAGTTTGTTTTAATTTACTATTTCACTGAATGTCATTGGAATAACTGTCTCCTTGCATTCAGTGACTTCCCTCTGACAATACACAGTGATTCACCACACATGAATATTTGATGTTGCTTCTAACTTCACTCTTACACTCAACTGCACATGTCCCATCAGCTCAGTCATTTCTTTCAGACTTCCTCATCTCACGGACTCAACCACTTTTATCTGCCTGATGTAATTCTCGAGCCTTCTTGCAGTATCTTTGACCAAACTTGATCTCCTTCATTCCAGAACCTTGCTGACGTGACAACATTTTTACCGTTAATTTTGGTATCAGTCAGAACACATGAGAATGAAATCAGCAGATCAATTAATAAATTCTGTCTAATCTATTAATATTACCTGCCCTACATGCACCTTCAGTTACTGTAGGTAGAAAAGTACTGCCGGTTACTACAACACTCCTATGGTCCTTTTGTGACTGTTTGTACCTTATTATTTTCTGAGGTACATTTCATATACACAATTACATGAATCTGACAATCATATGCCATTAATGTAGTTCAGCCTTCTCCATTTCATCCAATCACATGCTTTCATCAAACTCATTGACCACTGACAGATTTACACAGGGTCTTCAAACTGCCCAACCCCCAAAAGACATTAACACTAAAGATGGAAACTGCAATGTCTGCTGAAACGGTGGCAGTCCTTCAACATCCTATGTGGTGTATTCCCAAAAGCCAAAGCCACGGATTTTAGACTAGCCTCATACAATTAAAGTCTCATAAAATGTACCTGATTGATTATTCACATTTTTTAAGTTCCAAATCTTTTATTAAGACTTGATCATAATATAACAAAGCCTCGTATACTCAGTTTGGTACTTAAGATACCACAATATTTGCCACTAGAACAAGGCACTGTCATTCTGATAATGACTAAAGAATATAATAAATTCAACATGGCAGGGAGTAGGACATAATTAAAATTTCATAATGTCATATCAAATACAAGCCTTGTATACAGGCATTTGTGCTGTGCCCTCCAAGCCTGGGACTAACAGAGGACTGAAACTTCAGCTTGCAGTAAACAGAATTGTAATGGGGGATTGAAAAAGAAATGCTTTGAAGGTTCATAAAATTTATCAAAGAATGTAAACTGAACAATTCACTATTAAGATTTCTAATAATTGTCTAATTTCTTACATGAACATGAATGTTTAGCACTGTCCAGACTCAGGTTTATTTGATACAATATTTCAGAGACTGGATCCGTTCCCATCATGCGTGACACGGAAATCAATTCAGTCTCTGAAACACTGTGCATATCAAATACATCCGAGATAATGGACGGTGTCCAACATATTTGCATAAATATACATAAAAATAAATCTGAAAGTAAAATGCCTCATCTGAATATAATGGATATTAGTACAGGTATTCCTTCTATGCAAGTTCAGATGATGTGACCAACTAATTTAGATCAATTTCAATTAATAGCAGTTGTTTTAACATAAACTGCTTGCTGGCTGATTGTGAGATGTGGGGAGAAGGGGGATGATATTATTGTGTGGGTTTGGAGAGGGGAAAATTATGTTCAATTTATGCGATTTCACCCATTTAAACTATTTTTTGGAACATAACTATTGTAAAAATTGATGAATCCTGTAATTAATTGTTCATAGATTTGTCTGCTCTGAAAATATTCTTAATTTTCAATGTTACAGAAAGGAAGACAACCTACCTACTACTTCATGAATAAATCTGACATTCTCAGACTGAAAGATGATGAGGAGGCCATGAACGTATAGAACGTACATTCTTTCTTTCTGCTGTTATAAATGTACTTTAACATTGAACCTGCTAAAATTTATTTGTATGGTAAATATACAGTACTGTTAAACAGGTGTATATTAAAATTTGGTATGTACAATATGAGGTTTTATATACATAACTGAACCTACTTGATATATATCCGTATAAAAACAAGATTTAAACATGGTAATGCTTTGAAAACAGAATATTTTAGAGTACTTTTACATGATTCATTACTTAAATGAGCATATTTGTCCTAAACTATTTACCACATCCCAAATGCAATTCAAATGTTTCTTTGTAAAGTACCAGTATTTCAGCTGATGTCTATTTATGTGGTTCTTTATGGTTTATTTAATGATGCTGTCAGTAGCACTCATGATACGGCATCTAATGGTAATAATAGTAATGGATGATGAACTGGAAACTGTTAAAGTTTGTTACATTGTTACGTAACAATGCTATCAACACAGCATTAGTCACAGGATGATTAATGAACGTGGTGTGGTTGGTGGAATGAGAATTGGCAGGAAAACCCAAATTACTCAGAGGAAACCTGCTCCAGTTCCTTATCCTCCACATAAATCGCGCATGGCCTGACATGGGCCAACGCAGCACAAAGCCGGTGACTAACTGCTGTAACTATAGCACAGTCGAATTGGGAAGGCTGTGGAAGAGGTCATAGCCTATTTCAAGGTATGATCCTGGCATTTTCCTGCAAGGACTAAGGAAGACCACAAAACATCTGCCAGAACACTTGTGTTGCGGCTCACATTCAGGCTCAGTACCTCCCAGATACACATAACACACCATCAGCAGCATAATGCAGCAACTGAAGTAAATGTCTGCTGCATAATTATGTCTTTTAACAGCGTTACAGAGCACTGATGGGGAAGGGAAGATGAGGAGCACATGTGGTCTACAGATAAAGTGGGAAGGAAGTCATAACACAGCCACAAAATTCTTTAAAAGGTGTCAAAGTATATCATTTGAGAATGACAGCAACAAATCAAACTTTGCATTAACACTGAAGTTAGCAGCATGTTAAATCCAGGGAGCTCTTGGTGCCACTCAGCTCAAATATTTCGTATTCCCACCTGATACATTCAAATGTAAAGATAAAAACACACAGAACTATACTTTGTTGTTTTGTGTGCATGTGGAACTTGCACTTTCACATTAAGGGAAGGACACAAACTGAGTGTGTCTGAGATTATTTGGATTTATGAAAGGTAAGGCAAAAGGACATAAGAGAGAACTGATATTAGACAGCTTTGTAATTCATAACACTGTTAGGATGATAAAATCAAGAGTGGGATGACAGCGCATGAAGTCTTGAAGAACGTGAAAAGATGTGGATGTGACACATTTTATTGGTTACCAGATGTAACAACAGCAAAACGTCCTTGGTTACCAACTGCAACAACTACTCAAGTATCACTGCCTACCACTTAGAACAGCAGCAAAGCATCACTGGTTAACGCAGGTTTAGGTTACCAAATGACATGACATCATGTGGTAACATCATACCTCGGAAGAAATTTTTGAGTCCCAAAACTTTCATTACATAATTCAACAAGAAAATGAAATCATCTGTGACCTGCATACAAAACAGAAATACGTACACTAGCTGAAATCTTGTAAGTTATTCAAAACACATAATGATATATTAGTAAAATTATTTCAAAGGTGGTGATTAAGAAGGAAATTTTAAAAAATCTACTGCCATTAAGATACATCTCTAGCTTCCATGTTTATTCCCACAATTTGTTTTGGTTTGTACCAGACCCATTCTGCGTCAAGCCAATTGTGCTGGTTCACTAGGCCCCATTGTTCACAATATAAATCCCACTACCAAATTTAAATCTGCAACCAGAGCTGCAGTAGCAGGTGACTTAAAATCTAGCTGTTAAAGGTTAAAGCATGTTTAACATTTGAAAACTGATGGGACAATCTTATGGAATCTCATCCTGCCCACCAAACCTTGAACCATATGAATTACTTGTAATCTGAGATAAATCGACAAACACATGATTTTCCTAAGATCAAATTTAGATTTGTATTCCTGTACTGAGTCTGAGTCTTATGTCATGGCTGTCAGTCGGCCAGTTTATCTTGGAATAAAGCACCCATCTGGGGCATATGATCAGACATTTATTACTGTCAGAAAGTTGAGGGTTTGTTGATGTGGGGTAGTCTCTCTGACAAGAGGGTCTGTCGTTTACAATTGCTGCTGGCCCTTGCCAGCGCAGTCATTCTCGAGTCAAAGTCCTGTGGGACTCATGACCATATTTTACTGTCACAGATTCAAGACTTTCCTTTCCATCACCTCCTATGACCTGCAGGGCTACGGAGGAGGTATTCCATCCCATGTCCACATGGGATTCCCATACTAAAACTGTCTCGTCATAAATATATTGTGATGATGCCCAAAAGCCAGAATACTGGAGCCAGAGCAGATGTTCATTGCTAGGCAATGACTCAGTAAACATGTTCCTATGACAACTAATACGAACACAATAGAAGAACTGTTGGAAGCAGTGTTCTCTATGCAGTAAGGCTCAGCAGCATATTATTGCAGGGGAGTCAGGCAGTGAGTTGGACCCCTCATCTCCTCGAAGATGAGGCCCCATTTCATAAAAGGTAAATGGTTTTGGAACAAACAAAAATATGGTCATGAGTCCCATCAGGGCCCGAAACCAAGAATGGCTGTGTTGGTGAAGGCCAGCAGCAAATTACTCAGGAGTACAGTCAGTGGTTAGCAGTCAGCAACCAGCAAGGACAGGAGATGCAGGGCACAAAAGCAGCAAAAGGCATCTCCAGTTAGAAGCTGCTACCAAGCACAAAGTTCATGAAGACATAGCGTACTTGGAAGACTTGGAGCATGCTGTAATTATCTGTAGTGTGCAGAACAGTAAAAGTAGTGCAACTCTTTGTAGTTAAGAGTAATAAGCATTCAATATTCAACCCACGTTGTGTCTACTCATTAACATGCGACAATATGCTGAGTAATCATTCCATTGTTAGATATTAGGTTCTCATGGCAGTGACTATGAGGAGATGGGTCTTCTGGACTGTAACACCATGAATTTCAGAGGCAGCCTGTCATTTTGGAAAAATATATCACTTCCATCTTCACAGTGAAGCAATAAGCCAGGTAAAAAAGAAGCTACCTGTTTCAGTCTATCTTCAACCTTGAAGATGGGAGAAATACTTTCCTCTAAAATGTCAAATTTGAACTACATGGTCTTACAAAAGAGAAAATTTAACTAATAATCCTTCCCTTGTTTACTGCTATGAAGCTCCACACCGACTGCCTGATTACACATAGCTGTCAGTTCTCGGACAAAGAAGCAGGAATGAGGGAAATGGCAGTCATGTCCCTTGAATTTATTCCAGCACACCCACCCTTATATCTGAGGTTGGTCATCTGCTAGCACTGCGTCTAGACTACCATGTACAGCCAAGGCAGGCCAGTATTGAGCTGTGACAAGAAAAAATATTTTCTTCTGCATTCCAGCATGTATTTCTTCCCTGTATCACTAAACAGTGCACACAGCCACTTTCTGTAATTCCTTGAATGTGTGTAGATCATTTGCTGTTCATTTCTTTACAGTAAAAGTCTGGGTTGGGGCGTAAGCCAGCAGCAGAGTTGCTGGGAGTGAAACTGTTTTAATAGACTAAAATATCAAGGCAACATATAGTTTTACACTGTGAAATAGGAATACATATCACCAATATCACAGACAGGACAGAATCTGCTGAATTTATCAAGATAACTTTGCTTTTATTCACAAACATTCATTACATTGTAAAAACCAAATGAGTCTTGCATCTGCTCAGTATAAAGTCTCCCATAAGAGGGTAGTGTGTTCAAAACCTGCAAAATGTTCACAGTTACATTACAGGATATGGCAAAAGTCAACGAATACAAAACACAACAGTCACCCTCAATACTTCACAAAGGAATGTAGGAAAAACCTCTCTTGTTTAGGACCAGTTATAATCTTCAGTTCTTCAAAGCCTGCAGGAAACTTACAACATAAAGTTATCTGGCTTTTACCACACTCTGTAATTGTGTTTGCATGTGTGGAGGAGAGGAAATGGAATTAAAAAAGGACCAAAAAACAGGGCTTAAGCATCAAAACTGTTAATGGTAGGGCTCTCTCCTGAGCATATAAATAACACAGTTACATCCCTATGGTGTCATGTTTGCATTCTATATTACTGCAGTACCTCATCTAATACGACAGTAAATTAAATACACATCAACTATTGTTTTCAGAGACCTATAATTTGTGTAGTGGACTAAAAAAAAATTTGCAGCATTAAGGAAAAAGGATAGATCACTTACAAAGAGGTGTAATGAGATACTGAAAATGGCAAAATGTGGTAAATCAATCTTAAGAAAAACCTACCCTCACACTTATAAATTATAAAATGAAACCAAATTTGTAATTTCTTACACAAACTATATTCGTGTGTATGTGTGTTTGGGGTCACATTAGATTTCACCAGATCTTTTTGTATAAAATTTCAGTCTGCTTTGACATTTATAAAAATGATTATTTCGACTGCAAACCCCTTGTCCCCTACCAATCGTACAAATCTTAACAACAGCATGGAATTAGATCAGGGAGTATGGATTTTCTAGTAAAGCGAATCAGCGTTAGACGATCGTGGTTTCTTGATCTTCTCCAGGTTCTTAACCACAATATCATGAAGAGTGCAGTAGCGATTCCGTATCTCACACATGACAAGCCACAAGCTCACATACTCCTTCTCGTCAAGTTCTTGCACAGCTCTCCGATAATCTTCAATATGTGGGTACTTGGCCACCTAACAAAAACAAACATTAAATACCAAACAGATGACAAGAATCAAACTCACAGACTCACTATGGATTAATATGTATCACTTTGAAGAGTTATATCTTCTGGGATATGCCACTGCATAGGCCACTAAAAAACAACCGAAGTTTCAGATGAACATGTTGCCTCCATCTTCAGGGTCGATGATTAAATCAAGCACGAAACTAGAATGGAAGCACATGGCAAACAGATGCTTTCAAGCTGGTTTGCTAGGCTTATTTTTCGACCTTGAAGATGGAGGTGACACGTTCATCCAAAACATCGGCTGACTTTCAACTGTCTGCACAGCGTTATATCCAAGAACACACAACTCTCCATAACCGCTGCTGTGAGAACCTCAAATCCCATATCTTACTTCAATTTCTATGGTATTTTTTGTTACTGCTTACTTCATGATGGTGACAGTATCTCTCATACTGCAGCTAAAAAATCTCTGATGGTATGTCATACCCTAAGCAGTTCAACCTTATGGAAGAAGGGCCCTGTGTGTTCAACAATACCCCAAGTGTGGTGATTTTCATTCCCATGGTATGCAGAAAACTAGACTCTAGTAACTTTCTAATGGTGACAGAAGGATTTACATCACAATTTGACGACGATGTACCCTCATAGACGTTCTAAATTAGACAAAATATAGAGACTAAGAGTAGGAAGACTGGTGGCTAATGAATAGTAAAGGATGTGGAAGGAAACCATCACAATCTGATATACAGAGAGATTCTAAATTATTTTCAGTGTTTCTGTGCCCTATAATTTTCAAACCGAAAACAACAAAATGAAATTGCTTGTAGACTCTGAAAGTGTAACTCACTTGCTGCACTGATGTCTGCGGGAAAATATATCATACCTCAAAATGTGCGTACGTTGGTGTTTCAAAACAAAGTCCATTGTCAAAACACAATGTCGTTACAGAACTCATTATTGAAAAGATTCACCATCATATAATGCTACCCGACGCTGGTCAAAGTAATTCCAAGGGACTGGTAAGGTTCTGCACCAAAAAGGAGCAGGAAGACTGAGCACTTCACAGGAAGATCTTGACCGAATCCAGGAAGCTTGAACATCTTATGTGATATGAAAGGGGCACACACTGAAGTTGTTTAGCATTCTGCAGTATTGATTCTATAAGCATTAAAACTTTCTGAGTTACACTTGCATATTCTGTAAGCAGTCTTATTTGTTTCCGGTTTTAAAATTATAAGCCATGGAAACCCTGTAATAATTTAGAATTACCCTGTACTATTCTGCCATCTGTCTCGAGGGCATCAAATGGTAGGATAATCAGGGACTAATGAATTGGGATGGATCTGGAAAAGTTGTCATAGTCTGAGACACTGTATCAGCATTTGCCTTGATGGACTGAGGAAAACCACAAAAAGCCTCCAAGCTGAAACATAACCAAGGGCCTGCAAATACAAGACAGAAGTGACATCCACTCAACTGCAATGTTTGGTGCTGTGTCTACGGCACACACATAGCAAGCACTTGGGGCCCCCTCTCCTTTTCTTTCCTCATACACGCGCAGATAAACCGGCAGGCTTCCTGCCTATATTGCCGAGTCACACACGTCACGTGCTACATCCTGCAGGTAGAACTGACAGCTTTCCTACAGTCCAACAGCCCAAACGATTGGCCGGCCGGGCGCACCACACACATCAGTTTTGCCTTTCAGTCTTCAACTGTGCAGGCCGAACATGAGGCCAAACTGTGTGTGTATGGGGGCCCTTACACCCATACTGAGACTATTTTGTACTCTAGACCAGGTTTCACTACTGCATGGTTTGCAACCTGACACAAATACAATGATTACTTATGCCTGTCAACACTTTATGGAAATAAAAACACAATTTAACAAGCTGTACTGAGCAGAACTCTTTAAGCCAACTTTCCTATTACACACTCTTCTAATCTTCCATGTCTGTTAGTATTACTAGCTTAAGCACAGATCATATGTACTTTAAATTTGGAGTTGTCAAAGTATTACACCCTTGCTACATGTTTGCAATTACAGACTTACAAACAGCATTTCACACATTGTTTGTAGGTATGTCTAAGAACCATCTCCATACCGAAGTTCACATGCCTAGATCCATTGGTTCATTAATTATCACCATAAAACTAAAAAATGAAAATTTCTGCATGTCAATTTACATTTTTAAAAACACTTTTCCACTGGATCCAAGGTTCAAGGGTTTAAACCTGCCAAAGGTAGATGGATTTTCGTTGAGTGCCGGGGGGTCCCACACTGTATATTTATGGCATTTAAAAGAACCTTTTGCTCATGATAACAGAAGTGTGAAGACAAAATTAGATGCCATTTTGGGTTCCTGCTTCTGGATGCCACTGCAGTCATATGACTGTAGGGACCTCTCAGAGACAAGAGTGGGTGCAACTTGAAATCACTTAACCCAACTGAAGTAAGCGGGAAAACTGTCACAGTTACAAACACACAAACCAACCATATTACATGATGGTACTATCACTCCTACCTCACAAATTCTTATGCCCACTACATTCTTGTTATTGATGCAGGAAGTTGAAAGAGGGAAAAACAAAACGAGGAAGAGACACGTAAAAGTGAGTATGGAGAACAGAATATGAGAAAGGGAATAAGAGGAAAGAAGAAAGTTTTCAAATTTAGTCCTAATTTTGATCTGTAGATGGATGCAGTATGTTTGCCTAAAACCGTGTAAATATCTCCCTTAAAAGCAGGTGAAGTATCTACCTTATATCATGGGATACCCTATATAATCAAAAATAAATATCTTACAAGCATGCTACATTGTTTTATAGTGACAAAACCTGTTGGGGAAAAAAAACTGCATAATGTCCCCCCCCCCACAATTCTGAACAGTTAAAAAGGAGAACCTTACTTACTTACTTACTTACTTACTCATGCAGCTGAGCCCTTCTGGAGGAGCCGCCAATTCTTCAGCTACTGAAGAATTTTCTGGCATTTTTTGGAACCCGAAGGTTCATTACCGTGTTCACAAGAGCCCTCAACTGGTCCCTATCCTGAGCCAGATCTATCCAATCCATACCATCCCATCCTATCTCTCTAAGATCCATTCTAATATTGTCCACCCACCTACGCCTTGGTCTCTTTCCTTCTGGCTTTCCCACCAACATCCTATACGCATTCATCTCCCCCATTCGTGCTACATGACCTGCCCACCTCATCCTCCTTGACTTGATCATTCTAATTATACTTGGAGAAGAGTACAAGTTATGAAATTGATTATGACCGAAAGAAGGAAACAAGGGTGTTGACAGAATGGGTGGAGACAGGTGGCCAACGACAGCACAGAATTACAAACCTACAGCGCAAAGTGTACAGCAAAACAAAAGAAATGAAGATAAGAGGTACATTAGGCTGGTGAAGGAACTGATATGCCTATCTGTACAGTCAAGAAGACTGGAGGAGATAAAGAGGGGAAACGGTTTTTTCTTCTTTATAACATGATCTTCACATGCTCTACGAAATGCGTACCTTGGAAACTACCTTCCCCCTTGATACAAAGTACCGTGAAATCTGATCATAGAAGGTGGCAGCTTCCGTTTCAACAGACTGGATTTCCCCCAGGGTGTCCTCTTGAATTGACACCCCAAAGTTATTACCATCCTCAATTTTTGGAATCATGAAAGAAATCCACATTTTCAGCTGAAACAAAGAACAGAAGTATTGCTTAAAGCTGAAGTTCTTGTACATTTAGAAGCACAGTTCTTACCTAACAGAAAACACTACATCTACTTTATAAACATCATCTAGTTAATGTTATTTAGGGAAACAATAGCTATTATTCTGAGGGTCTTGTGAAATTTGTATGTGCATTATGTGGACAAAATGCAGAGCTTTTTAATGTTAAAGCACATGGTACATACATGACCCAATGGGCTTTGAAGGGTTAACAGAATGCAAAGCCTCAGAGTTAAAAATGATGTATTACACTATCATACTCGTTGATTTCCTTTTCCAAAGAGGACACCAAAATAACAATATGCTGCAAGATTTGAGGCTTTCATGGCGGTGACTATGAAGAAAGCAGTCTTCTGGGATTTGGCACCGTGTATATGTGGTGTTAACTGACATTTTGGAGGAACGTATCGCCTCCATTTTCAGGGTAGGAGGAAAAATATATAAGAAATCCGCAAGCGAAGAGACCGTGAGAACCAGTAAAAGCTTTCTTCATAACAATATGACGTACGTGCACTTCCATCCAATACAGTTTCTTCTCTGTGCACAAAATGCATGAAGCTTGAAGATGCTGACCACAGGAACTTGACACCACAGTCTGGTGGATCATTACCGATGTTTCTCATGAATTTGCTGTCTCCATCTTCAGGACAGATTCCTCTTCTAACCAGAAGATGGCAGCAGGAGGTTCCTCCAAAATACTGGTAAAATCTACCATACTATACAGCGTGATGTCCCAGAATACAGAAATAATCTTTACATGCAATGCCATGAGAACTTGAAATCTCAGTTAAATAGTTTGTTTAAAATGACAATGTATGAGAATCAATGGGGACATGCAGTAGTGTAGTAGGTTGAGGCACTATGCTACAGGCTGGAAGGTCATAGGTTGAAGTCCCGATGAGGTCATTGGATTTTTTCAATTGAAATAATTCTTCCAGCCGCACTATGGACCTGGGGTTGACTCAGCCTCTAACAGAAATGAATACCAGGAATATTCTTGGGGGTAAGGGGTGGCCGGCATGTAAGGCTCACAACCTTACCGCCATCTATGAGTCGACTGTCTAGAAAAACTATGAACATCTACCAGAGCATCACATCCCTGAAGATGGCACTGTTCTTAGTAACCTCTGTACACATCTGAAACCCAACAACAGTCATGTCATTTAAAAAGGTTCATAAGCACTGGGTTAAGTTACATATTTACCAGGTTTGCATCTTCAATTAATTGTCTGATGTGGGGCTTCACAACGGCAACCACATCGCATAAGTGTTTGTTACATGGCACTGCACCAGACAGGAGAGCCATCACCTTAGTACCGGACACCTCGCTGCCGCTGTCCACACAGTTATCATATTTCCACTTCTTGTTGGCCGGCTGTTCCACCACATGGCTTTCAACAAAAACTGGATTAAAACTAACACAACACAGCAAAGAGACATGCAACATTTAAATGAACTTTAAAGTTTGTTCACAATGGCAATACACATTGCTTAAAAATATTGTTGGGGTTCTTCAAAACCATTATGTTTCGGAATCTGGTTCTGCTTTTGTCTTTGGGTGAGAAAACCTACTCTGTCAAGCCCTTGGTAGAGCTATCTGCAGTATTAGTAACCTGTAGAGAATGGAAAAGCCGCTCACAGTGGCTGCGTGGTCTAAGGTATGAACCGTCTTTGCCCACTCGAATACTGGGATTGTGGGTTCGAATCCCACTGGAGGCATGGATGTCTGTGTGCGTTTATTCTGTCTCTCTGCTGATCTCTGTGCACATAGCGGCCTTGTGACAGGCTGATTCCCCATCCAAAGAATCCTACCACTTACATATATATTAACACTTTGCGGACTGGCAATTTAAATATTTAAATCGCCCTGGGGACCGGCATTTTTTTACCTACTACCGTAACTTGTGCACTGTTCACTTTAAAAATTAATTTAAAATTCCTAATTAATTTTATGAACGAAAATTTTTTTAGAACACTTACCACTGCTCCTAGAAGTGCTTGGGGGTGTGATATATTTCTTGAAATATTTCTCTGTGAAGTGGCATTACACAAAACTTGCAAATGTAGACAGTCTTACTCCTTTTCTTGTGAACTGCGCAAACACAGCACTGCCTAGAAGGATGCTTCCCCTTGAAATGTTCACTCGGGTATGTTTCCGCGTATCACCCAAAAGTTGCCCAGGGGGGTCAAAATGAGGCCTGCGTGGGGTGGGAGTAGACAGGCCCGGTCGCACTAAGACTGTGTCTGCCGCCGGGTAGTCTGTAGCTCAGGCTTTTGCCACATTCAGCAGAAATGCCTTGTATTTCAATTTTGAATGAGGGTTTAGATTTTTGAAAACCAAAAATGAATTGAAAATGGCACAATTTATAAGGCACAAGACAACTTTCTTTGTCCACTTTACTGTTTTCCGAGGAAGCGAATAATAGGCCAAGTACTGATCGGTTCTATCAACTCCCTTCATGAACATATTATACTTGGAAATACAAACAGGCTTCTTTCCTTGCCCATGTCTCCTTTGAACATCAACCATGCTCGAATTGTGAATTGTGGAAATCATATTCACAACACGAGTATCCCTCCAGGACTGAAGAGCAGGCAGCTACGTGCAAGATGGGAGGCGCCAGAGAGATGTATAGTGTGTTGCAACTTATCATATTCTAAAAACGTATTAATACGCAACCGGTCTGTCACGTTTAAAAGCGAAAAACGTATTAATGCATGCGCGGACCGCAAAGTGTTAAGAAACTGAAAAAGCAGCCAAGGTTTACAAGGGCTGTAGAGCCATAGAGAAATAGAAAAGTTGAAAACACTGGCGGCTTCCATACTCAAGGGATTCATGTTTGCTGGTAAAGGCTCCAATGGGATTTGCAACCAGTCCTCTGACTTCCATTACCATGCAGTAGGTCTTTTTGTACACTTATTTTCTAATTTATATCTAATGTTATCTATCAGGTGTACAGTTTTTGTTTCATGAAGGAACAGGCAATGTACACTATGATGAGCAATGACAGTAGCCACGGTTCTCATTAAACCCCAATTTTGTGCAAGACTTTAGTTTTGCCAAATGTGGTGTTTTCCCAGAAAATAACTCCATGTTTAATAAGCTGTTGCTGTCTCATACCTAACTGGTCAACTATGGACTTTGTAAAATAGAACTCTCCATCAATTCAGGTCCTTCTATACTTCTGAAATGTTACATAATTCAAAGCAATAACTACAGTGTAATTCTCCACACTTCTAAAACTTCAACCCTCCCACCCAAAAATGTTTATAGTGAAAGTCATAACAGCGAACTTTGGAGGAACTCGAAAATTAGGTTAAACACCCTTGATTATAAACAATTAGTGGATAAATTATGTTGCTTTTTCTTTGTGGATTATTTTACAGGACTGTCAGCAGCTAGACTATATGGCATCAAATGATAGGCCAGATGAATGAACTAGAAGTGATACATAAGGAAGCTGTGACAACCTGAGTTACTATCCTAACATTTTCTCAAGGGACACAGGAAAGCCACAAAACATCTCAAGGCAGTTTTTGTGTCCATACAAGGTTCAAGCGAGGACCTCCAAAATATGAGTCTTAGAATGTTACTGCTAGGACAACCGACTCAGCAAACCGTGCTGGGGAAAGATATTTCGTCTTCAGATTTCAGAAAGGGCAAAATCTTGTAGGTAAATATGTAACGTGTAATACGATTACAAGCAAAGTACCACCTTCAACCTTGCACGAACACAATCCCTGACCTGAAGAATGGATTAAAATTCTACTTTACACACTCATTAGCTCATTAAGCCCTGACAGCTGAAACTCCACACACAATCACACCTTTGGAACCGTAGTGAGATACGACAACATTTGCTCTTGAAGAGTTCTCTCTTCTGGGATATAATACCATGAAGTGCCCTGAGAGTCGACCAATGTTTTGGAGGAGCATGTTGCTTGATTATCAAAGGACTAGGTGATCTTACATAGTGCAGACAGAACTCTTCATAACCACTGCTGCGACAACTTCAAATCCTACATTTGCTTTTGTTTGCAGCCCCCATGTACTCACCTGTTAACAATGACCGGATCTGGCACAGGGATGTTCAGGGGCTGATGAATGTCTGTCAAATCTTGCCTCCCAAATTGTGCCGTATCAAGTAATTCATTTAATTCAACAATTTTCTTTGGGAAACCTTTGAGGATCAAGATTTCTGCCTGAAATATGCACAACTAGATGAACTAAATAATATTTAAAAATTCAGACCCTTATAAGAGAAAAACACATACTCTCAATCACAGATACCAATCAGTCAATGCTGTTTATTCTGTAAATCATACAAAACCTGTAAGTATGGTGTGCAGGCAAAAATGCAGTTCTTAAGGCAGGTGGTACATATATTAACCACTGTCTTTTAAAGGGTTAAAAGAGTGTAGTGCTTGTAGTGTTGACATAAAAAGAAATGTATTTGGAAATTCTTAAAACTTTTTGATTCTGCAGAGTGATATGTTCAATTTTGAAACAGAGAGATTCTAGGGAGTCTTTCTTGTGAGAGTAGTTTCATAGGCATGTGCAGTGTTTTCGAAAAACCTGACACAACAGGATCCTCCAAAACACTGGCACCCGTCTACTAACTACACAGTGTTACATCTTAAAAATCATCTTTGTTCATCTCTAAAGAAAAATACATTTTATTTTAAACATTTTATAATACAATGTGATGTCACCCACTCATGGAGCTGAGCCCTTCTTGAGAAGCTGCCAACTGTGCGGCTACTCAAGAACTGCTCAGCATTTTATGGAACCCGAAGGTTCATTACCGTGTTCAGAAGAGCCCTCCACTGGTCCCTATCCTGAGCCAGATCAATCCAATCCATTCCATCCAATCCTATCTCTCTTGAGATCCATTTTAATATTGTCCACTCCCCTACATCAAGGACAGTTGCTGTAGTTGTAAGAAATTTGGATTTTGTAAAGGGTGTTTCACTCAGGGCGGAACCTGGCATTTTGTTAATAACTCGGATACTAATAAAGATATTGCAACGAAATTTGAAGTGGACTTACCTCAGTTCATGTGAAGTCTGGTGATGTCATAACAAGTGCTGGAAATGGCAACAGTGTCGATGTGTTGCGCCTGTTAATCAGCTGCCCTTATCTGCATCCGGTGTGTCACACCAGTCTAGCCCCTGCGTACTCGCCCCTGCTGGTCTCATTTATTTTTGCACTTTTGGCTGAGGGTGTTTAGACAGTGCGGTTGTTCTTCTTGAGTGTTGTTCGCCAGTGTGAAGTGCGTACACAACGGAAAAATGGATCGGTACACCCTGGAGCAGCAAGTGTTTATTGTGCACGCATATTGGAAAACAGAATCCATCAAGGCATGTCAACAACAATTCCTGGTGAAGTTTAGAGGCAGAGTTCCGCCAAGTAAGTCCAGAATTTGGGTCTTGTCCAAAAAACTTGAAACCAAGGGGACACTTTTGGATCAGCACACAGGAGGTCGTCCAGCAATGTCAGCGGAAACGATCCAGGATGTGAAGGCCCGACTGCTGGCGTCTCCTAAGAAGTCATTGGGCTGAGTTTCACAGGAATCAGGTCTTTCGACAAGCACTTGCTATCGTGCTGTGAAGAAATCTAAGCTTCATGCATACCGAATCTCCATGGTGCGCGAGTTAAAAGAGCCAGATTACGTGAAGAGAGTGGCGTATTGTCAATGGTTACAGACACTTGTCCAGGATAATCTGGACATTCTGGACTACACTTGGTTTTCGGACGAGGTGTGGTTCCATCTTTCCGGATATGTTAATTCGCAAATGGTGGCCATTTCCAGCACTTGTTATGATGTCACCAGACTTCACATGAACTAAGGTAAGTCCACTCCAAATTTCGTTGCAATATCTTTATTAGTATCCGAGTTATTAACAAAATGCCGGGTTCTGCCCCGAAGTGTATATTACAAATATTGTATATTTGTGTATTTTAAAAATCAAAACACCCAATGTAATAGTAGTTTCTAAAAGTACTGATGTTCCCTCTGATGATGGTCTATGGGACCGAAACATGTTAGGGTGCTAAGAAGTGAAGTAGTAAAAGCTTCAACAGTCACAGTGGCCGGAATTGTTTATCATTTGTAATACAGGACATACTAGATAATAGAGGACATGACATTTCAGAAACTGGTTCTGTTTTCGTCTTCAGCTGAGAAAGGAAGACACCTACTCAGTTGGGCCCCTTAAAAAGAGCTATTCTCAATCACTGGACCTCTGAGTCTTTCTCATCTGGGAAACAGATCCAGTTTCTGAAACATCGTGTCCTCTATTACCTAGAATTCCAGATGAAGCAAAAGTCCAAAAATCCAATAATTCCACATAATTTCTGCTTTCCTTTCATTCTGTTATAATCCTTCCTTCTTTCTATTATTCTTCACTTCTTTCCCATGGACATATGCCCTCTTTCATTTTTCTACTGATCTTATTTACTTCATCCTATGAATTATTTTATTTCATTTCTGGGCATTCCTTTCATCATCCCTACCGACGTCCTCTCCTTCCCCTTACATTTCAACCCCTTCCCTATACCAGAGGGACATGGGGTAGTGTAGTTGCTTGAGGAACTATGCTACAAGCTGGATGATCACTGGATTTTTCAACTGAACTAATCCATCCAGCCACATTATGGCCCTGGGGTCGATTCAACTTCTAACAGAAATGAGCACCAGGAATCTTCCTTGGGGGTAAAGGGCATCCTGTAGGTAAAACTGGCAACCTCACCGCCATCTGTGAGCTGAATGTCTAGAAAATGTGGGAGCCTTGCTATCTCACAACCTATGGGCCTCCACAGTCTGTTACCTTTATCACCCTATAGCAGAACCACTGTTTTCCATACTAAGCTTCTCTACTACCCTATGCACTTCTTCAAAACATGGCACGCATCCGACAAACAACACAATATCTCAGAAGGCAGTAATGTTCATAATTTACAGTGCCTGATTACAGCTGGTCTGGTTCAGATCTCGTCTTCTTCGTACGTGTCAAATGACTGTCATGCCTCCACTGTTCTCCTTAATAAGAATCCCTTTAGTGTACCACTGACTGAGTGTTTATGTGATGCAACAACACTCTCAGGTCAGGTATTTTCACAATATTGCGAAACATCCATGGTATGTGATGGTACACCGTCAAGAGTAATTCTAAGAGAGATCCAAGACAATAGTATTAGCTATTTGTTTTTTTAACAATGCCTAGGTGATGAGTGGTAAATTTATAACACTGCAAAACAAATAATTGTGATCTGACTTGTCAGAAGCACCTAAGAAAGGTTTAAATATATGTGTCACGGCCCTGAAAGGGTTACGATACAAAATGACACAACTTGTCTGACATACTTTGTAAGTGAGTAAGAACAGCAAATTTCCCAAAACACCTGCTTTAAGCCGGGAGATGAGGATTAGTATGACTCACACAACACGCCGATCATTCACTCACCTTCGATTTCAGCGAGTCCTTGTACTCTTGCACCTGTAACATACAACACTGCATTACAAAAACAAACTCCCTGATTTTAGTCTGCAAGTGATCTATACCAACCAAGCAAAAGCCACTTGTCGGCGAAGTTAGTCCCAACTTTTGCGGGTAGTGGGTATCGTGTGGTCAGTGCAACGAGTCACCACGGTTGTTAATTTCGGGTTTCTAGACCGGAGCCGCTATTTCCTTGAAATAGCTCCTCAGTTATCCTCACGAGGCTGACTGGACCCTGTTCCAGACCCACTACTTCTCAGAAAAAATCTGGCAGCGCTGCAAATCAAACCCAGATCTCTGGATCTGACCACTAGACCACACAGGCGGTCACTAACACTGCATTAAGATCTTGCAAATTGTTTTCATGTATAATTTTAAAGATAAAAAAATAATGGTTGATGCACAGAAGTGTAAAGATTTTGCAAGACAAAATATGCCTACAGATATTACTACATTATAAATCACTTTAAACAGTTAACAGTCTAAAAGGAACTTGTATTTTATATTCTTAATACATGGCAGAAAAATGTTAATAGAACTAGTTTACATTAGATTAGTTCTGTTCAATCATCTATTAATAATTATGGACGTATGTTGCATAATGTAATCAACATTCTAATGAGATTTGAGGTTCTGAATGCAGTGAATATTACAATTATATATGTTGTACTGAAGCATCCTGTTGCGCCATGCAATCCAATCTTAGGATTCTCGCTTCACCATCTCTGTGCAACCCCATCCATATACTGAATTCACACTTTGAGGCACTTAGTCTCTTCTTATTACTTAATTTATTTTACACTCTAGGCTTCAGCCTAAATGGCCAATAATATATTTCATAAGCACCTCACATTACTCGTAAAATGTGAAATACACCAGCGTAACAACAGAGCAGCTGTTTCCATCAACACACCTGATGATGTCAATTTAGGCCAAAACACGTAGCGTAAAATAAAGTAAATAACAAAAACAGACAAAGAGACTTGATGTGTGAATCCTAAAACTGATTTTATATTGTCTGCACAACAGGTACAACTGTATTATAGAAAACTGATGGCTCCATCTTCAGGGCACAAGAAAGCACATTCTGTAATGAAGGGGTTAGAATTTTTCTGCAATGTACTGAAACTCCTCTTTTGGTCTTGTGCATCTTTCATTGTTATGTACCCTATTACTTACTCATGGAGCTGAGCCCTACTTGAGGAGCCGCCAATTCTGCAGCTACTCAAGAATTTCCCAGCATTTTATGGAACCCAAAGGTTCATCACCGTGTTCACAAGAGCCCTCCACTGGTCCATGTCCTGCGCCAGATTTATCCAATCCATACCATCCCATCCTATCTCTGTAAAATCCATTCTAATATTGTCCACCCACCTACACCTTGGTCTTCCCTGTGGTCTCTTTCCTTCTGGCTTTCCCACCAATATCCTAGACGCATTCATCTCCCCCATTTGTGCTACATGACCTGCCCACCTCATCCTCCTTGACTTGATCATTCTAATTATACTTGGAGAGAGTACAAGTTATGAAGCTCCTCATTACGCAGTTTTCTCCAACCTCCTGTGATTTCATCTCTCTTTGGTCCAAATATTCTCCTCAACACCCTGTTCTCAAACACCCTCAGTCTATGTTCCTCCATAGGGTTATGTACCCTATAACGGTTGTTATATTATCGTGATAGATCACTGCGTAATTTTTATGTGACTTTGACATGTGATGTATTCACCATTATTTTTTGACATGTCCAATTGTATTCACTTCAGATAAGGATGAAAATAAATTTGAAAGTTGTACAATATTTTTTTTAGTTTGATACTTATATTTTTTTCTAATTTACTTGTTTAATGATGCTGTATCATTAGAACTGGTACAGCCACTTTAATAATGGAAGTGCATTGAAATCATTTTTTCAGAATGAAATAGTATCATCAATGCTTTACACAAAACATCTCTCTCTCTCTGTTTCACTTTCAGTTGTGGTTTGTGGCTTATTTTATGACACTGTCAGTACCTAGGTTATACAGCATTTAGTGATAGAATGACTAATGAATGCAAAAGGATTTCGAAGGATGCAACTATGGACAAATGAAGGTAATATCAAAGTACTTGCTTAAAGCGACTAATGAAAACAACAAAGACCCTGTGAGGATAGACAGTGTCTTAGCTCAGATTTGAAATGAGTACTTTCTGAATGAGCCCAGAATGTTATCGCCATACCAACCTGCTCAGTTGTCATATGGTATCACTATACACATACTTCACACAGCCACTGGGTAACTAAACAGTATGCAGGTGGGAGCTACATAGTGGCCTACTCCAGGAACAATACTGTATTCATATGCCATCTACCAAACACTGTTAAATCAGGAAGAATTGCATTTCATGTTACAGTCCTGTTCTTTCCTTCTCTTTGTAAGTAGACATGCTGAACAACAGGTTTCAGAGAGGCAGTCATCTGTTCTATCACATTATTACTAACACACCTGGTGTACTAGCGGCTAACTTCGCAGATCTCCTGATGTAGATTACAGATCAAATAAGAGACAGCAACACTGTGAGTGGAAATCATAAGCATAACAAAGAATTTATACTTATTCAAGACTTTAACAATGTTTATGCATGTCACATTAGCAGTATGATTAAATAATGTATTAGTAATCACTCTTATAAGTTTACCAATTATCTTATTTCCAATATTCATCTTCGACATGGTGCCTCTTGTACAACACACATGAATTCATATGTAATATTCAGCATGCTAAGCGAGTGACACTGAAACACTTGAGCCATTCAATTACAGAAGCAAAAATCATAAACTAAGGACATAATCAATATTTAGTTCTGTTAACATCCTAGAAAATTACTAATTTTGTATCTGGGTCAAGATTAACAAATCACGAATTATTTCATTTATGCCCTTGCATGTTACAAGGTCATTCTTGGACAGAGGAAAGTTATTTGGCTGATCAAACAATTCCAACATTTTGTACTTAAATATCCATCACCATCATATGAGAACTCTTCACTGGATTTTATTCTTAGCTAGTTCTGTTCTATAAATAGACGCGTCATGAAATATGTTATGAAAAAAGTTTTGAATTTTATTATCCGGCCAATTAATTACCTTGACCATAAAATGCTGCACACAGAAATGCTTGATGCGCAAAACACAGTCGATAATAATTCATATGATCCTAGCACTTATAGCTTCCCTGCAGAGACGAAGTTTAATTTAATTTAACGTGAACAAATTGTTACAATATGTGAGGGCGCAAACCGAAATTCAATTGTAACGCTTTCAATTCATACACCATATACGAAAAACACAAAGGACGATTCCACATACCAGGGCAATGACGATGGAAATTCTATGAAAACATTGCTGCCCTGGTATCATCCTTTTCTAAGTATCACCAGATGAAATCTAATTACTGCTTAAAGAAAATCTTCCAAGTATTCGCGTATGGGGTTATGTCGTACGAAACAAACACGGATTTCTGAACGAAAAAGAAATTAATTATTTCATTTTATACATATTTATTCGGTGCACAGGTTTTAACTGTATAAAGGCAGTGAATATATATACAGTACCACAAACTAGAAACAGAAAATGCTATTTTCCTCCTCTGTCAACGGTTTATGTTTAGAATTATAAAACTACGATGAAAAGTGAAAAGCATATGTTTTGCAAATACTTACTTTCTGTGTTGGTCCATCTGCCATATTACTACTTGCAAATTGATACAATAACCAATGTGGCACCAGCAAGCGATCTGGAGACAACGGTTTTCACAATTTACCTAAGCTTATGCTCTTGTGTAACGTGCGATTTGAAACAGGAAATCGCTTTTTTGTAGGCGGAAGGAACTATTCAGTCATGTTACTTAGGAGAACTTACGATTTATACGAACGTAACTATAGAAAGAAATTCCATTAAATCCCGCTGTTGTAAATTAATTTTAAGATATAAATTTAATGAGATTTTATCATGGTAATGTTGCAGAACTTAATAAACATTGTGTAGACTTTTGATATTGCGCGGCAAATTCAACTTCATATCTTTTTTAAGCCTCGAATGACTACGCATTTAAGCGGCTATTTTCAGTTTTCACAAGGACTGCCAAGTTTCCAAAACAACATTTAGGGGCAGATATGTGCAATTTCTACTTCAAGGCTAAGGACCTCTATGACACATAGACAGGCCACCTGAGTGCCAACTTGCGAATACCGAAATCCATCCAACAGTTGTGAAAGAATACCAGTGATGTAGTGCAGATAACATGACAATTTGTTCTCGTATATAAACGTTTTGGACAGCTCCTATGTCGTGTACACGTATAGAGTTGCCATCCTCAAACGCTTTTTCTTATTTACTTATTATTTAACGACGCTCTAAGAAGCTCACATTATAGTATGGCTTCGGAGGGTAGGATAATTAATGAACTACTAATTGAACATACATGTGGAACAAAATGGTCCTGGACTCCTTAAAAGTATTATCCTGGTATTATCCTGTAGGCACTGAGGAAAACCACGAAAACCCTCAGCCAGAATAGCCAAAGTTCGAACCGGCCACCTCACGAGTACAAGCCAGAATTGTTTCCGCTCGGGATTTTCAAGCCTGGAGATGTTTTCCTGTGATACTTATGCAACTGGAAAAAAATTACACTCACGCATAAAAAATTTCTTGAAAACGATTTAGTACGAGTATTAAAAGAGAAAAATTTAGACCGTAATTTTATTTATTTGCAGGAGCCGGGATAGCTCAGTAACCTCAACGGACAGGCTACGGGGTGGAAGATAGGAGTTCGAGTCCACGATGTCCAGACCCATGCTGTAGCTCACCCAGCCTCATATCGAGTGTTCGTTGTCTAAGGATACAGTGGCCAGGGTGAGCCGGGATAACGCAGTCGGTATTGCGATTGGCTACTGGCTTGTCGACCGAGGGGTCGGAGTTCGAGTCCCGGTAGGGTCAAGAATTTTCTCTTCTCTACGTCGTCCAGACCGGCTCTGGGGTCCACCTAGCCTCATATCCAACGGGTACCGGGGACTCTTTCGCCTGGGGTAAAGTGGCCGAGGCGTAAATCTGACCACTAATCTCCAAATAGTGCCGAGTTCAAGAAAATGTGGATCTATACATCCACTCACCCATACGTCTTCATGGCGTAGTGCTTAATTAGTTACGCACGGGAACAACTTTACCCTTCCTTATAGAGGGGCAAGGTCGTGAATCTAACCGTTCTCCTAGGTTTAGTGCCAACGGTTAATGAAAAGAATACATATATTTTCAATCCCCTGTACGTCTTCATGGCCGGTCACAGTAGTCGAGCGGTCTAAGGCATGCACTGTCTTCGCTCGCTCGGAAGCCGGGATCGTGGGTTCGAATCCCATTCAGGGCATGGGTGTTTAGTTTGTGTGTGTGTGCGTTTTTCTGTGTTTGTGTACAGGCAGAGGCCTTGCGACGAGCTGATCACCCGCCCAAGGAGTCCTACCGAATGTGTAAGATCTAGAAAAACCGAAGTGAACGGAGAAGTTCATGGAGGTAGGCCTAGGCCCACTGAGGCTGTAGTGCCAAGGAAAAAAAATCTTCATGGCGTGATGCTTAATTAAACACAGGGACAAATTCACCTTCATTTTGAAACTTTTACGACTATTTTATTAGCTGGTCAGTCGGTCGGGTAAATTGTGCTGGTCCTCCTCAGCACAGTCATTATTGGCTCAGAGTTTCGCGAGACTCATGAGCATATTTTACGTTCTCACGAGTCCGGGAGTCCTTGTTTCCATTATATGTTACGTCTACGAGTACCTACTGTCTTTTTGGCCTCTGCACTAGTGCAGTGAGGTGAGTGATCCGCTTCACGCCCCGGCCACTTTACCCCTGGGAAACTCCTCTCCATACAACTCTTTATTGACCGTCACAACACAACAAACAGAAAAGATCAAGGTCAGCGCACAGCTATGTTTCGCTACCTGTTTCAGCCACTAACGGCCATCATCAGGCAAACATATATTAACAAACATATACCATTGAATTACAGTACATTAGATTGGATTCAATGTTATTAATCATTTAAAATACTTTGCGTAAAAATACAATAAGTCAGATTATATAAAAAACTAAAAGTTATGTATAAAACACGATAAAATTGATGTTATATAACATCGAATCAGTCGTTGATATTTTACTTTTCATACGTTTCCATGGACAAATTGGAAATTCGATATTTCTTTTATATAAGAATGCATGGGAGGCCCATGATGTTGCAAATTAATTAAATGTATAGCCGGTGCCTCATCTTACGTAGAATTGTCCGTACTGTATGGAGAGTAAACAACGACTCCATACCCGTTGTATAGGAGGCTGGGTGGACCCCAGAGTTGGTCTGGATGCTGTGGAGAATCCAATGGGAATCGAATTCCGGCCGTCAGGCACGTAGCCCGTCGCTGTACAGTTTGATTGTGCCTCTATTATATTATTTAGATATTTGTGAATTTAGAATGTAATATTCACATTTGGTTTATGTCTACATGTGACATTCAAGAAAGAATCCTACCCGGTTAAGCCAGTTAGAAAGAGCAAGCCTCGACCTCTGTTATAAGTCTCTAAACGATAATGATAGTTGTTATCTTCTGCCCTAAGGAACGTCTTCCGTGTGCCTCCTGAGGCTATCATTAACATTTCCTTCCAAATTCCTTCCTATTAATCCTACCCAGACAGTACCACGAGACTCTGCTTAACCTTAGTAATTCACGTAGGTCAGAAATCTTCAGGCTTGTATTTTTGAGGTACTCGGTTCGAATCTAGACTCTAACTCCGGCGATCACTACTGAGGTTTCTCATGATTTTCCTTACTCCCTCCAGACAAATACCGACACAGGACCTCAATTGGCCTCACAGAGAGTATTTGAACTACTCTCAAAGTCGTGAAGGAGAAAAATACGGCCATGTATCCCGTGGGATCCGGAAACAGGAATGAATTGGCTGGCGAGAACCAGCAGTAATTTACTCGACCAACAGATTGATCAGGCCACTATTGCTTCCTTCCAGATACTCATCGATTTGGACAAAGTCCAGAAACCCAGTAATTCTGATTTTTATACACCATCGTCATAACCAGGGCCCGGATTTTGATATGTTATATTTTTTTCCTTGTATCCTATGCGATGCTCTTAAATATATAAATCTCGGATATGAGCTGCTGGTTACAGAAATGTAAATTTTATACGCAATTTTTTGTCATCTTTTGACATTTTTAGGTTTAAGGTAATTTTTTTTCATTTTTGGTGTAATTTTATGGTAAATCTTTGGACTTATAAGGGTATTTCTTGTCATTTTTGGTCATTTTAGCGAATTTTCTTCAAATGTTTTCTGAAATGTGAATAACATGGAAGCGAAGTGTTCTTTCTTTTCTCCTTTAGGTAATTTTTCTGGATTTTTCGGTCATTTTATAGGTCATTTTTTTAATATTTTCAGGTTATCAAAATCCGGGTCCTGCATATTACATTTTGGGTCATTTTTCTGGATTTTTTCGGTCATTTTCTAGGTCATTTTTTTAATATTTTCAGGTCATCAAAATCTGGGCCCTGGTCATAACCCTTTAGAATCTCCTCTAAGAGATAGTTATGTGAGCATCAAAACTCTCCGACGTAACACTTACATTAATCTTGGAATGACATCACACAAAAAAAATATATATAGTTTACTGATAGTGGGACACAAAGCAGACAGAACAAACATTCTTTTCGAAATAGCCACAACACATAATAACACTACACATGTGCGTCTATCAGTATTGGCAACATTGGAGAAATCAACATCCCACGTCACTTAAACCAGCTTCAGGTCGAGACACACTGCCTACGGGCTACGGACAAAAGGACCACAGTTCGTTTCCTGGCAGAGCAAACTTATTCTCTTCTCTACGGCGTCCAGACAGGCTCTGGGACCCACGCAGCCACTTATTCAACGTGTACCGTGGGCTGTTTCCCTGGGGTAAAGCTGCCGGGGCGTTAAGCTGTATACTCACTTATATGCAGTGCAGAGGTTAACAACGGTGGAGTTATACGTCCATTTCCCATACGTCTTAACGGCGTGGTGATTAATTAATTCAGGCAAGGGAAAATTTTACATTTATTATTATTATTATTATTATTATTATTATTATTATTATTATTATTATTATTATTGCTCTACAGCCCTTCGTTGCGCCTTGGCTGCCTTTTCAGTTTCTTGATCTTATATACACATTCGGTAGGAGTCCTTGGACGGGGTATCGACCCTTAGCAAGACCTATACCTACACACAGAACAACACAAACACAGAATACATGCACACAATACAGACACCCATGGCTTGAGTGGGATTCGAACCCACGATCCCAGCGTTCGAGCGAACGAAGACAGTTCATGCCTCAGACCGCGCGGCCAATTGTACCTTTACCTTTGCCATCTATGTGCTCTGGATACACACAGCGTTTCTTAAAGTGCGTTGGCTTCACTCGCGGAAGGTCTACTGGACTGTACTGGACTGAGTGTGTAGACATCCACTGCGGAGTTCCACTACTGGGGCTGGCGTATTCTCTGAGTCAGCCTGCCTGCCTGGTCAACGGCTTTCTGTAGAATTCTCGTTGGAGTTGAACGGCGCTTCTAGATGCGTGTGCCAAGACTGAACTCTTTCCGAAAACATCCTCCGATGTCAATAAGCCTAATATAGGAAGCATGCCAGCTTCAAAACTTCCTTTATTTTTGGCAGTTCTGTATATTTTCATATTTCCAAGTCAGAACATGAACGAATAAACTGTCCAAGTAAAAAACAGCTAGCAAAGGTAAAGTGTAAAGATTTCGCGATTTGTATTACGGA